AAATGCAAGAACTACTAGTCTTCCCCCGAATACAACGCACGGTCATTATAGCTGATTTTTTTTATTTCTTTTTTTAATTTGGACCATTTCTCGATTTATGCGTGTCATCCTTGCGCAGGGGCCATGCTAATCTTCTCTGTATCGTTCCAATTTTAAGGGATGTCCCGAAGGACTTTCTCAAGATTTCTGAAATTGGAATGTTGGCAAAATTTCATGAAAGTGCACTTTTGCCTTGCTGTTTTATAGTTTTTTTTTAACTAGGTTACCAGCCGGGACGTCTGGGACCCTTTTTGGGTCCGGGTTGTGGGATCGGAGGACGCGCCATTTTCATGAGGCCGGTAGCTCCTCCGAAACGAAAATGAAAATGGCCCACTCTGGGCCGTCAGATCTAAGACATCTACGGCCCAGATCGGGCAAAATTCAAATTCAAATTGTGTTGTGTGCTGCCTTTCGCTTGCGTGTGACTCGTGCATGTCCAACCCCTGTGACGGTGCATGCCCTCCTCCACTGTTCTCCATGTCTCTCTCATCTCTCCTCCTCCTCCTCCTTTTCCTCATCCTCCTCTTCCTCATTTCCCTCCATCTCTTTCTCCTCCTCCTCCTCCTTTCTGTCCACTTCCTCTTCCTTCCCCTCCTCCTCCTCATCTTCTTCCTCCTCCTTGTCATCCACCTTGTCCTTGTCGGCATCCTTCATCGCCGCCCTCATCCTCCTCGTCCTCCTCGTCCTCTTCTTCTTTTTCGTCGCCGTCATTCTCCTCCTCCTCCTCGTCCTTGTCCTCTTCTTCTTCTTCCTCCTCCTCCTCCTCGTCGCCTTCTTATTCTTGGTCTTCGTCCTCCTCCTCCTCTTCCTCCGCTTCTCCTTACACCTCGTCTATGTAACCCCAGCGGCCGCAGTCTTGACCGCAGCGGTCACGGTCGAAATCGGCCCGCTGTGGCCGAGGGGAGGGGGTTCTCTGCCAACCGCGGTTGGGATTCCAGCGGCGGGACACGGGCTCCACCACGGTGCACCACCCCATAATGGAAAAAAATAAAAAACGGGGGGTCCAAATAGGGGGGTCTTAGAGGGGGAGAAAAAAATCATGGACCCCCCGTTTTTTTCTTTCTTACTTTTCATTTATTCTATCTGTTGAAAAACCCGCTATTTTTTTTTTTTTTAACTTCTTTTTTTTAATTTATTGATTGATTGATTGATTGGTTGGTTGATTGGCTGATTGGTTGATTCATTGATTGATTGGTTGGTTGATTTTTTTTTTTGGATTGATTGATTGCATGGTAACCCCGGACCCGGACACCAGACACTTCCGGACTGTCTTCCGGACCAAAGGCTGGACCGGTCCGGACTGTCCGGTGATCCGGACATCACCGGACACCGGACAGTCCGGACCGGTCCCCAGGGTGCAAACATGCCCGGACCCAAAAAAAAAAAAAAGCAGGAGTGGGGAGGGGGCTTGGGTGGGGGTGTTGGCAGGCACTTACCTGCTTTGCACTCTGTAGTTCAGGCAGCAGAGCACGTGTCTTGCAGCAAATCAACCAGCACTGGCAGCACATCTAACTAGCAGACATGCAGAGTTGCAAACAGTGCAAAGCAGGCACAAGACTAAAGAAACGGAGAATTTTTTTTGAAAATGATTTACTTTGAACGTCGAACTTCATATATAACTTAAAAATTCGAACTTTGCAGTTCAATTCAGAATGTCAGAGTCTTCAGACTGGCAGCACTCTCTCTCTCTCTCTCTCTCTCTCTCTCTCTCTCTCTCTCTCCAACGGGCAGCRGCRGCGGGCGCCACGTCGAAACGGTCGCTTTGAAATTGCTCGGGCCTGTGCGAAACCCGCCACCTCAAAAACCTGCAGTGTCTTGTGTCTGGACCTCAAGGCCATGTCCGGTGGGGTGAAAGGACACTTAAACCACCAGTACCTACCGGCTGTTAAGGCCCATGGCTCAGGCTACCGGTAGCCTGGTCATTTCCGAGCCTCGAACTTTATTGCCGAGCCTCGGACAACCGGTAGGACACAACGAAAAAAAAGAAAAAGAAGAAAGAAAAAAAACATACAACATTCTGTAAAAAAGGGGAAAAAACAAAACAAAACGAAATCAGACCTTTCCAACGAGAATGATTCTTCCTCGATAAAGAGGAAGATTCATTCTCGTGAGAGAGAGAGAGACTCTGAGAGAGAGAGGGCGTCATCCAGTGTCTGACGCCGAGTTTGGTGCAGAGAGAGAGAGAGAGAGAGAGAGAGAGAGAGAGAGAGAGAGAGAGGGCGTCAGCCAGTGTCTGACGCCCAGTTTGGTGAGAGAGAGAGAGGGCGTCAGCCAGTGTCTGACGCCGAGTTT